AAAACACACACAGCACCATAAACCCTAAACCCTAAACCCTAAACCCTAAACCCTGAATCGTGCACTGGGCGCTTTTTGCTGTTTACCCATCTTTGTCGAATTAAACACAATGAAACCCTAAACCCTAAACCCTAAACCCGAAACCCTAAACCCTAAGCCCTAAACCCTAAACCCTGACCTGCACTAAAGACAGCTTGGGGTGTATGTACACCTTTTTTCCCTCGCTGCCTCCCAGAGGCACTGCGAGCCAAATGCTGCAAATAAAAAAAAGAGTTTTATTATTTTATTTTATTTTATTTTATTTTAATTCAATTTTATTTTATTTTAATTCAATTTTATTTTATTTTGTTTATTTTTATTTTTGCAAAAGAAATAAACAAAGCCATCGAATTTGTCTTTTCTCTGCAGCAGCAGCAGCAAACGCAGCAGCAAAAACAGCAGCAGCAGCAACAGCAGCAGAAAAAGAAGCAGCAGCAGCAGCAGCAGAAAAAGAAGCAGCAGCAGCAGCAGCAAATGCTCGTTCGATGAGCTGCTATGCTGCTGCTGCTGCTGCTGCGGCAGCAGCAGCAGCAGCATAGCAGCTCATCGTGCTGCTGCTGCTGCTGCGCTTGAAAAGAAGCCAACAAAACTTATTTATTTATTTATTTATTTTATTAATTTTATTTATCTATTTATTTACTTATTTATTTACTTACTTATTTATATTTAAATTGAAATAAATAGAGATTCGAAGGAGCAGCAAAAGCAAATAAAGAGTTAACAATTAAAGACAACAAAAGAATAATTAAACAAAAGATTTAAATGCTTTTAAATGTTTTGAAAATAGTTTTAAGTAATTTAAATAATTTGAAGAGCTTTTAATACTTTGAAAAAATTTTATACAATTTTAAATGTTCTTTAAACAGTTTTAAGCCGTTTTAAACGATTAAATTAATTCAAACGACTTTAAACAGTTTGAAGTGGTTTAAAAAATTAACATTAGCACTAAATAGCATTAAATGGTTTGAAAATTAAAAACTAAACAAAACTAAACCAATAAAACTATTTAAATAATTAAAAAGAATTAAATTTAAACACTTCTTGCCTGCGCACAAAACCCTCAGCCAAACGGCAGTACTGGCAAATGCGGCTGGCGGTGAAAGTCGCCAGCAGAGCAGCAACGACTTCTGCTGGCAGCAGCATTCTGCTGCTGCTGCTGCTGCTGCTGCTGCTGCTGCTGCGGTGTTGGCAGGTCTTGGGGGCTGCTGCTGGCCTCGTTGGCGCTGCTGCTGCGGGGAAAGCCCAGAGAAGAAAAGGAAAGAAAAGAAATGAAAGTGAAGAGGGCGGAGGGGAAGAAGAAGTCCACGTACACCCCACGAGCTGTCTGTACACCGCAGAGTTGCCAGTGCAGAGGCGGAAAGCAAATAGCCAGGGGTCGTCAGCAGCGCCTTCTGCTGCAGCAAGCAGCAGCAAAAAGCAATTAATAAGCAGCAAATATATATTTCCTTCTTACTAGAGTGCTGCAGCAGCAGGGAAGCTGCTGCCACGCAGCAGCAACCTGCTTCCACTCGCTGCTGCTGCTTCGGCGGCGCCGCCTCGCCGCCCGCAGCACGCGAGCCGCCGAAAGCTGCAGCTGCTGCTGCTGCTCCTTTTATTTCTTCTTTTTGCAATTTCTATTTGCTTTTCAACGCACTTTGTCAGTTTTATTTTGCAGAATGGCGGAAGTTTGATCGCAGCAGCATCGGGGTGTCACTGCAGCTCATCGGCGCGCCACCGCGCAGCCCCCGCTCCCGTTCTCACTTCTTTTCCGTTCAAATTTCAAATTCTTTCCAAAACAAAAGACAATTTGCAATTTAAACTCACTTGGCCTTCGCTTTCTCCAGTTTGAAGCGCGCGATCGCGCTCTCGCCGCCACCCGCGACCGCTAGCCTGCTGCTGCTGCTGCTGCTGCTGCTGCTGCTGCTGCGGCACCAGAAACTTCCGCGCGCTTCCCCTTTCGCCAGCTCTGCAGCTGCAACGGGCTTTTCCTCCTGCTGCTGCTCCTGCGAGGCCCTGCTGCTGCAGCAACTCGCGCGAATGGCCGCGGAAAAGAGGGACTGCTGCAGCAGCAGCAGCAGCAGCAGCAGCGAGCTCAAGGCGCCTCCCTCCCCCTGCGCCTCAGGTGTCTATACACCCCACCAAGCGCATGCGCCGGTGCACCTGCAGTGGGAACCGCTGGTCCTCTCTGACTCCAGCCCTCCTTCGCATGCAACAACAACAACAACAACAACAGCAGCAGCTGCTGCTGCTGCAGCAGCAGCAGGCGCTGCTGCTGGTTCGTGCAGCATCGGCACCTCTTCGCTGTATACAGATGTGCGGTTAGCCGAAGCAGCAGCAGCAGCAGCAGACGCTGCTGCGTCGCTGGCAGTGTCTTATTCCGTGCCGGACGGGGGCGGCAGCCGTTTCGATTCTTCTGCTGCTACTGCAGCAGCAGCAGCAGCTGCTGCTGCTGCTGCTGCTGCAGGAGCGTCTTCTGCCGAGGGGTGTGGCGTTGGCGTGCCTGTACAGCCGAGCTCAGTGCCCTACTTCTCGGTCAGCAGCGAGGCTGCAGCAGTGCAGCAAGAAGTGGTGCTGCTGCCGTCCGCAGCAGCCGACACAGCAGCAGCAGCAGGAGCAGCAGGAGGAGCAGCAGGAGGAGCAGCAGCAGGAGGAGGAGCAGGGGGCGGCGCTGGCGCGGCCTGCGGGCCGGCGCAGGAGTCCTCGCTGGCGGCGGCGCCCGCCCCCGGCGCGCCCAGCAGCAGCAGCAGCAGCAGCAGCAGCAGCAGCAGCAGCAGCAGCAGCAGCAGCGGCGGGCGGGGGCGGGCGCTGGTGGCGCTGGAGCTGCTGGAGTGCGGGGTGTGTCTGGAGCGCATGCAGCCGCCGATTTTCCAGTGCAAGGAGGGGCACACTTTGTGCTGCTGCTGCCAGCAGCGGCTGCGCTGCTGCCCCAGCTGCCGCAGCACGGGGCTGGGCATTCGCTGCAGAGCTTTGGAAGTTCTGGCGGAGTGTCTGAGCGACTTGCCGTGTCGCTTCGCGCCGCTGGGGTGTACGTACACCCTGCGCTACAGCGAGCTGCTGCAGCACGAGGCGCGCTGCCTCAAGCGCCCGCTGCTGTGTCTCCACGCGGACTCCGGCTGCTGCTTCGAGGCTGCGCCGCAGCAGCTCGCCGACCACCTGCTGCAGCAGCACGGCTACGAGTACCGGCCCTGCAGCAGCATCCGCTTCCGCTGCACGCCCGCCAACTGCAGCAGCCGCCGCAGCAGGCCCGACGCGAAGGCCCGCAGCAGCAGCAGCAGCAGCAGCGGCGGCAGCAGCAGCAGCAGCGGCGGCGGCGCGCCGCGCTGCGCGGAGCCCGCGGACGCCGGCGACGCCCCGCAGCCGCAGCCGCAGCCGCAGCAGCAGCAGCAGCAGCAGCAGGAGCTGCAGCAGGAGCTGCAGCAGGAGCTGCAGGGCAACGAGTCGTTCGTGTGGCAGCAGCAGCTGTACCACTGCTTCGGGAAGTACTTCGTGCTGCGGGTGCACCGAAAAGTGGAAGCAGAAGCTGCGTTTTACGTGTCAGTGGTGGCGCTGCACCCGCGGCACCACTGCAGCCGCTACTCTTTGCAGGTTTCCGGAAACCACCGCGCGTACAGCTTCCAGGGGCCCGTCTGGTCCGCCTCCCGCGGCTTCAAGGAGCTCGAAAGGGTCAAAGATTGTTTATTATTGCCGGAAAACATCGCGTTGTTTCTTTCGGGCGCGAAGGGCAGCGAGCAGAACCTCAACGCCATCAGCCTCAGCGTCACCGGCGAGATCCTGCCTTCCTGACCGGGAGCCTCGCGATCTCCGCGCTTTCCGCGGGAAACTTCCACAACTGGCCCCGAATATTCCATTTTAATTGCATTTCCCGCGGTTTTCCCGCAAAAAATGCGCCCGGCGGCCGCAAATTCAACAAGTTTCCGAACCCCGCGGCGCCGCGGCGCAGCTTTCGCCGCGCGAGCTGCCTATACACCCCAGCGCACGCGCGCCCGCGAAACCCGTGCTGCTGCTGCGGAAGCTCTTTTCAACTTTTTCGCGATTTTGCTGCATTAAAAAACACTTTGCTTCGTTTTCGTTGCATTTCTTTCGTTTTCTCGCACGCTGTTGCTTCCTAGCCGGCTAACCTGCCACCTACTCGCTCTACGGGCTGCCCCGAGGGGCCTGCAAACGCAGAAACTAAATTAATTAAAAAGCAGAAAAGTCTGCCGCTCAAAAAATTGATTGCGTTTCGCCGCGGAGACGAAACGGGTCCAGAATGCGATTTGAACTTTCGGCGCGTCTTGAAAATTTGAATTCTGCATTTCCCCTCTCAAAAGCGGACACGCAGCAGCGCCAAACTCGAAAGGAAACAGCAAATTGCAAATGAGTCAACCAGAAGCCAAGGAACGGGCGTCGCCCGCAGGCTCCCCGCTGCTGCTGCTGCCGCTGCTGCTGCTGCTGCTGCTGCTGCTGCTGCTGCTGTCGGGGAGTGCGGAGAAGGCGAGCTTCGCCGGCGAATTTGAAAGGGGGAAGCCTCTCATTTAACCAATTAATTGTTTGGATTAATTGTTTAAAGTAATTGTAATTGCGTTCATTAAAGTCTAGAGTTCTCCCTCTCGGTCGGAGTTCTTCGCGTTTTGCTCCTGCAGCATTTCCTGAAAGGCCACGCGCTCTTCGGGTGTCAGCAGGTCCATCACTGCGGCTCTGTCTTCTTCCGACATTTCCGAAAGGTCCAACTCGGCGTCTTCCTCTTCTTCCTGAACGAAAATCAAAATAAAAAGCAATTTAAAAACCAAAATGGACCACTGGTCACTTCGGAAAGCTGCGGGGTTGAGGGCGCGCGCAGAGCTGCACAGGCGCGCCGCTGGGGTGTACGCGCACCTTCGAAACCCGCCAAGTTGCACATGCAGGAAAGCGCGGGAATTCGAGCATTTTGCGCCTCAAATAATAAAAAATTAAACATATTTCACTATTTAAAAGGTTAGTTTTTCGAAGTTGCGGTGAAAAGAGCGGAGAAGCCGCAGCGCGCCGCCGGCGGAGTCCTCACCTCGAGGAAAGAAGACTCGTCGGCGTCGGGCTCGTTCAAGTTGTCTTCCTCTTCGTCGAATTCGTTTTCTTCAGAGACTTCTTCGTTTAAATCGGAATTTAAATTGAATTGGTCTTCCTCGTCGAGTTTGTCGGCGAGAGCGTCGGCGTCCATTTCGGAAAAGGAGGCGTTGTCCGCCTCCATGTCTTCCTCCAGCTCTTCCGCCTCGCCCAGATCTTCTTTAAGGTTTTCTTTAATTGCGTTTGCGTCTTTGGCCGCGTTTTCGTTCAAAGAGTTGTTCTCTTGCAGCTGCATCGCAGCAGCAGCAGCGACGGCGGCTGCGGCCAGCAGCAGCAGCAGCACTGCGCGGGACACGGAAGTCGGCATTTTCGGGACGCAAACGGACAAAACGCAGCTCCAAAAGAAGCGATTATTTCAAAGTCAAACAGAGATGTTCAAACAAATCCAAAAAAGACAAATTTGATGACACAATTTGCAGATTTGAACTTCCGCGCGGCGCCGACGGCGCCCGCCAGCCGACCGGACCGCGCCGGCCGCCGACGCCCGCCACTCGCCAGCTGTCGCGACACCCCGCGCTTTCCCGATCTATTTCCATTTTTATTGATTTCTCAAATTTTTACTTTTTATTATTTTATTTTTTATTTTTATTCTTTTTCTGCTTTTTTTGAATCCAATTTCGCCGGCAGAAGCCCACGAACCGCTGCGCCACCACTGCCCATCGGTGGTCCGGCGGTTTCGGGAGTTCAGTCCATTCAAGGAGAGGTTGAAGTCCATTTACAGCATTTAGGTCGAAATAAATCCAAAATTTAATCCAAATTCAATTTATTTTAATTAATTTTAGTTAATTTGAAGTAATTTGAAGTCAAATCCCCAAAAGTTTCACTTTTGCAAAATTTTCCGCAGCCACTGCCGCCCCGCCGCAGAAGAAAGTGGCTTTTTGAAACCGCTTTAAACCATTTTAATGTTTGAAAATATAATTAAATAAATAAAAAGAATTTAAATAAAAAGAAAATCCAAAAACAAAATGTTTTCGGGCGGCCTTTCAAGATCCGCCATTGCAGAAAAACTGCCAAGTGCGCGTATACATATTTGCACATTAAAAGAATGAATACTTTTGAAGTAATATTAAAAGACTTCATTTTTACTTTAATTGTTATAATATTGAAAGATATTAATTTGAATTTAACTGTCATAATATTAAAATATTTCAATTTTAATCTATTTGCTTTTCTTTTTTTTCCGTTCCGGATAAAAGCTGCTTCTGCTCAGGCTCTTTTGAACGCGCTGTACATACACCTCAGCTCCAGCATCCATGTTCGAGAGAGCTCTGATAGCATATCTTCTAGCCGCTGCTGCTGCTGCTGCTGCTGCTGCAGCTGCTGCTGCAGCTGCTGCTGTAGTACTGCAGTTGTTGCTGCTTCAGCTTTTGCTGCAGCATCTATTTTGCTGTTGTTGCTACCGTTTCTCACGCTGCTGCTGCTGCTGCTTCTGCAGCTGTTACTATTTCTCCTCCAGCAACTCCTGCTGTTGCTGCTGCTGCTGCTGCTGCTGCTGCTGCAGCACGGCGTCAGTGAGAAGCTGGAACTGCCTGGCGTGTCCAGAGCCACAGGATCCTCCCCTGGGTCTCCGGGAAAGCTAGAAGCTGCTAGCCAGCTAGCTACCTAGCTAGCTAGCTAGCTAGCTAGCTAGCTAGCTAGCTAGGTAGCTAGCTAGCCAGCGGGCCCCCAACGACCCAGCTAGCTAGCTGGCTGGCTAGCTAGCTAGCTAGCTGGCTGGTTGCCGGCTGCGGCCCTCAAGTAGTGGGCGAAGAGTGTGCTGCAGTGTTTGATTTGCTGCTGCGTGAGTTCGTCGGGCGCCGCGCCCGCCCCTCTGCTGCTGCTGCTGCTGCTGCTGCTGCTGCTGCTGCTGATGCCGTTCTCCGCGAAGTAGCGGCTAGCCACGCTCAGCCGCAGCAGCACTTTTCCTGCTGCTCTCGTGGCAATTTGCTGCTTCCCCAAACTGCTGCCAGACAGCCACGCCAACTCCCCCAGCGCCTCTTCTTGCCCCAGCAGCCGGCCTGCAGCACAGCGCAAAGTGCTGCAGCTAGCTAGCTGGCTAGCTGGCTAGCTAGCTGGCTAGCTGGCTAGCTGGCTGGCTAGCTGGCTAGCTAGGTGTGGAGGGGAGTGCTTCGGGATAGAGGGGAGTCCAAGTGAACAAATGGCGCCTGCAGTTGCAGGAAGCACTCAGTCGCTAGCTATATAGCTGGCTAGCTAGCTAGCTAGCTAGCCAGTTAGCTGGCTAGCTAGCCAGTTAGCTAGCTAGCTAGCCAGCTAGCTAGCCAGCGAGCCAGCTAGGCAGATACAAGGATAGACAGATTGACAGGCAGATAGACAAAAAGATGGATACTCGCTCATACTGTCTCGCCACCACCTTATTTGTTTATTTATTTATTTATTTATTTATTTATTTATTTATTTATTTATTTATTTATTTATTTATTTGTTAAGCTAGCTAGCTAGCTAGCTAGCTAGCTAGCTAGCTAGCTAGCCAGCTAGCTGTGGCTGTTGCGTCTGGCGTGCGTGGGCCTCAGGCGGCTCTGCCGCCTTCAATAAAATTAAAGCCACCAAATTAAAAGCAGCAAAAGACAAATTAAAAATTAAATTAAATTAATTTAAATTAAATTAAATGAAATTAATTTAATTGAATTAAATTAATGCAAATTCAATTAAATTAATTTAAATTAAACTAAAATTATGTTAAAGCAAATTAAATCAACTTAAACACATCAAACAATTAACGCCAATGAAAATCAAATCAAATCAAATTCAAGTCAAATCAATTGAAATCAAAAACAATTAACCAAACCAAACCAAATAAATGAACGAATAAGTTAATTAATTAACTAACTAACAAACTAATTAATTAATTAATTAAGTAATTAATTAATTAATTAATTAATTACTTAAAACAAACAAAAGCAAACCTGCCAGTTCCTCCCCGCTGAGTCCTGCGGGCCTCCAAGTGGGGCAAACGACTTCGTGCGCTCCGCAGCTCAGCGGCACACAAGTTCGCCCGTACGCAGCTGCAGCAGCACAAGCAGCTAGCTAGCTAGCTAGCTAGCTAGCTAGCTAGCTAGCTAGCTAGCTAGCTAGATGGCTAGTTAGATGGCTAGCTAGCTAGATGGCTAGCTAGCTAGCTAGCTAGATGGCTAGCTAGCTAGCTAGCTAGATGGCTAGCTAACTAGCTAGCTAGATGGCTAGCTAGCCAGACGGCTAGATGGCTAGATGGCTAGCTGGCCAGCTGGCTAGCTGGCTAGCGAGCTCAATAGCTAGCTAGATACCTAGCTAGTTAGCTGGCTAGATGGAAAGGAGAGTTAAAAAAAAGAAAATCTTTATTGATCATGAAGATCAAACTAAAAATGAAAACATTTGCAAATAAATTGAAAATAAAATAATTATTCCGTTGCTGCTCACCTAGCTGCGGCTTCCCCTGCTGCTGCTGCCACAGCAGCAGCAGCAGCTGCAAAGACCCCGTCAGCGACTGCAGCAAATAGTGAGCCTCAACGGGGTGCTCCCACACGTAGGAATCCAACGCCTGCAGCAGCAGCAGCAGCAGCAGCAGCAGAAGCGGCAGCACCAGCGGCAGCAGCAGCAACAGAGATAAGGGTAAGTAAAAAAAATTGTGTGTGTATGTGGTGTATGTACACCTGGACTTTTACACTTTCGTAAAATGTGAAGAGACAGCTTTAGCAGCAGCAGCAACGACAATAACAGCAGCAGCACCTGAAGCAGTAGCAGCAGCAGCAGCAGCAGCAGCAGGCCTTACATCTCCATATGCCGCTTGCGTTTGCTGCACTTCATAAGCCTCTTTACAAAGCGGTCTCCATCCCGGACCTTCAAAGAAATAACATTCTTTAATTTTTAATTAAATTTGCATGCATGCATGCACTTGCATGCATGCAAATGCATGCATGCATGCATGCATGCATGCATGCATTTGCATGCAGTAGGGCCTCCGTGTGCGGTTTTTTGGAAATTGCCTCCTTGTAAATGGCATTTTTGATCATTTTCGCGAACAGGCACTTTTTAAACATTCTTTTTATTCTTTTATTCTTTTGTTCTTTTATTTCTTTATTTTATTTATTTTGTCTTCTAAAATTTGAAGTTTAAATTCAAATTGGTTGTGAGCGCGCAGCGCTCAGGTGTACGTACACCTGAGCGCACAGCCCTCAGGTGTACGTACACCTGGGAGTTTGTCTAAAGCGCATTTTTAGATTTAGAATTATTTTAATTCATTAAAACAATTATATGCAAGTCTAAGTGGAGATGCAACTGAAAAGATATTTAAAAGTTTATTTATTTACTTTAAAATGATTCTTTGTTTATTCCACTTTTCGAAATGTACATGTGTGTATGTCGAAGTGTATGCACACCCGGATAGCGTATATAAGAGGATTTTGTATTTTACAAATTACTTATTATTTTGTTTTCTTTTATTTTATTATTTGTTATTATATACTATTAGATATTACTAAATCTTTTTAAATACATTGTTAGAAATTAATGTATTTTATTATATTCTATTATTTACCATTTAAGTATTTTTAGATATTTATACAAGTAGTTATCTATTATATGTTCTTCCATGTTATTATATATTATTATCTATTATATCTATTATCATATATATGTTTAAATGCTACTAAATATTATTTCATTTAAAAAATACTTTTAAAAAATATATATATATGTATAAAGGCATTACTAGAAGTACTACTTCTAATATATGTTATATATTATTTTGAAGACACAAATATTTAAATATGCAATATATGCAATCAACAGGCGTTTTTAAAATAATAAATATTTAAAAATTAACCAAAATGAAAACTTTTGCATTTAATTAAATGCACGCAAAATTTTAAAGGTAAAATAGTGCATGAGACGCAGTGTATGTACACCGGAAGACAGTGCATTTGTGCATTTTATTTTCTGCCATTTTAATGCCATTAAATAAATAAAAAGTAAAAAATATAAAATATAACTATAAATCCAATTGTTTTTAAATGTTTATTTATCAGGAATTTATGTGTTCTCCTCCTCAAATCCGCTTGAAACAAACTTGGAATTATTCGTTAAATTAAAATGCAAAACTACTACAAATTAAAATGTCCAAATAAATAAATTAAAATGTATATATAAGTTTGATTAAAGACAATAAATAAATTAAAATGTATATACAATTTCGACCAAAGCAAAAGTATACAAATATATAATATATATATTTACTTACACACACACACACATATATGCATGCTGTACATATATATATAATTATTATAGTAAAAAAATATTTATAAATGCTTATATATACGTTTATTATTTTATATATGCATTTGTATATGTGTTAAATTTCACCAAATGCAAAAATATCACTTTAAATATATATATATATATTTGAATATAATATCCTTCTCGGGAGTTTGTTCGCATTTATATCCTCATTCTGGTGTAAATATAAATAAATTAATAAATTAATTGGTGAATTTAAGAAGAAAATGAATTAAAAGTGCTTTTTGCTGCCGTCTTGCTGCATTTGCTGCAGTGACCGCTCGCCCAGATTTAAAATGCTCTATTCTCAAATTAAAAAGGAAATAAACATTAATTTTAATTGATTTGAATTAGTTTTATTCTTTTTTCGTTCTTTTACCCGCCAGAAAACGAAATTCGCAAAATAGACCTCCATACACCCCAAAGCCCTGCCCGGCGCTCAGCTCGCCGACGATGTGGACCTGAGGTGTACATACACCTGAAAATTCGCGATTGTGAGTTAAAAAGAGTTTCTTTTTGACTTCAAATATCAAAAATAAACATTTTAAGATAAATAAAAACAAAATAAACAATTGAACTCCAAAAAACGAAACAAAAGACCTCCGCAGCGGAGGTGTACATACACCGCAGTGTACGTACACCTCAGGCTGGAGTGTACGTACACCTCAGGAAGTGTCAGCAGCAAATCTGCATTTATTTCTTCTCGAGTTTCTTTTTAACTGCTAGATGCAAATA